ACCATCCGAACTCGGGCTGACATTTCTATTTGTTTCTTAAACAAGTTTAGTAATGGCAAATTGTTCATTAAATAATAAATATACACGAGTTTAAACAAGAAGTACTCGACTCGAGTATCAAGCTTGACACATATATAAAAAAATAAAAGTATGAAAACAATTTTGAAGTATTAATATAAATTACATGAATAATGCATTAAATAATATTAAAATATAGATGTTGTATTTGTACAATAAAAATCAATTATATGGACCTCGTAAAAAAACTTGTGAATTATATTAAAAACTCTTTTATACATATGACAAATCATAACTTTTAATTAATTAATTATTATTTTTTAAATGGAAAGATATTTTTTCTCATATACTTGAATTTTAATTAGAAAAAAAATATTTATTAAACCGGCCACCATGAGACGGTATACTAATCGCTTTATTCTTATTGTACGACATGTCATTTAAGGTTAATATATCCTTTCATTGAATATGCCACATAAATAAATGAGACTTGGTATTAAATTTTTATATACTGAAACCATTTATTTAAAAAACAAATATATAAATAAATTGTAAAATCAAAAAATTCAACTGCATACTAAATAGTCTAATGGAAGTCTAACACAAGCAATAATTGTCTCGAGTAAAATTATTCAAATAATTTTCTTTATCTAAATAATATAATGTAAACACAAAAGGAATACGTAAAACGACATAATGAGCTAAAAGAAAAGGCGAGAAGACTTAAACTATTTTTAATATATAATTTATTTATTTAATTTAAAATAAATATAATTTATTTTGGACAAAATAAGATAAAATCTGTGGTTAGGCTAATATAACATGGGCTAAAATATTTTTTACTAATATATATTTAGATGTATAAAAATAAAAAAGTCAGGGTGGCGCCCGTCACAGCCTTTGGGGTGGCTCCGCCCCTACTGAAGGGAGTGCATCAAATTGGCACCTTTAGCCAACATATCATAACGGCCACAAAGTAAAAGAACAAAATAAAGACAAAATCTAGACACTGCGTTAGAAAACTGATGTAGCGCAGCGTACGAAATGTAAGAAGAGATAAAAATCTCAAAATATTTGTGTTATTCCATCAAAAGTCGATCGGCTAGTTGTAGAAATAAATAGAACCCTAACTTGCCTAGTTATCTATCTTGCTAAACAAGTCAAATACCCAAGTAATATTAAATATACACCTAGCAGCTAGAATAAGGCAAATAATAATAATAATAATAATAATAATAATAATAATAATAATAATAATAATAATAATAATAATGAAACTAAATAATTATACTAAATTAATGATGCTCTTTCCATCATTCTCCCCCTGTCGAAAAGGATTCGACCTCGAATCCAACACGATCCCTGCATATCCTCTAGAAAGACTTCAAAAAACTCCTCCAACAACGTAGGAATGACGGATGGTGGTGACTGCTCCTCGAGCAAGAAAAGCGCCTTGCGCATGTCGTCAACAAATGCAGCGCGAGAAATGACACAGGGGAAGACGCAATTGAAGTTAACGGATGGGGTGGAGACGGATGGAGCACAACCCGAACACCTTCAATCGTGAAACTGTAAGTGTTGAGATGTCCATCGTGAGCTGTAGTCTGTAGACCGATCAAACTGTCATTCCCGACCCAACAGGAGGTGACATGCGTCCATGGGTACGACATCACACCACGCCGTGTCCCTGTACTTGGCCCCAATAAAATAAAATTCACTAAAACGTGGCGGTTAACACTAATAGCATTGCCACACTGCATCCACACCAAAGTGTAAGGATGAGGATGCGGCTCAGTCGATAAATGAAGCCTCTCGACGGCGTCCTTGACCAACACGTTCTCGCATGAACCGAAGTCTATAATGAAGCGGCACAACCGATCGCCCACCGTGCATGTCGACTCAAAAGTAAGATGGCACTGGATGGAGTCCACGTACGAGACCCTAGGCGATAAACATGACCGTCGAAGAACGAGAGCATGAATGAGAGCATGACCAACGTCACCGTACAAGTGCTGTACCAGCACCTTTCGTTCCTCGTAAAAAATCGGGGGGCCATCACGAACCTCGCCGTCCGTCCTGGCCATAAGGGCACGCGCACTGCCCTATTGCGAACACACAGACTGTCGGTGGCCCACCTCGCCACAACCAAAACAACACAACCCTCATCCCTGCAGCATCTCAGCCATCGCAGCCGGCGCGATCAAACCCACGACAGCCCTAGATGAGCCTACTGCCGCTGAAGAATCGCCCAGGCCAGGCGCTGCACTGCGATCTGTCAACGCTCCTGCTGCAGCCGGAGGTTGTCCCTCACCCGCCACTGTTGCCAACTTTGAACCCACACGCCGATACGCGTCGCTAGAAATTTGGCAAAATTAGCGCAACGTGCGATCTGCTATCCAAATAGCAACGCGCATTGATGTGCGTCCGATATACTATCCAGCACAAACAAATTCAACATACCGTGGATTGATAAATGTAACCTGCCAATATATCGTGAAACAATTTTCTCGTTCGTCTCATGCACATCTACCCACGTGATAAGACGATAAAAGTCCTCTGTATATTCATCAACGGATCGTGTACCCTGCCTCAAATTCTTAAGTTGTTGATACATAGTACGAACGTAGTTAAAGGGAAGAAACTCACGCTCGATGTTTTTTCGTGACTTGGTCCACTACATGATCTTCAATTTCCCGAGCCTGCACCGTGAATCCTTTTGGTGCTACCACCATGCGGTCGCTCGACCGTGCAAACGTGTGCTGACGAGGTCCACCCGACGATCGTCTAGCACCTCCTTGTACTCGAGGATTGAATCGACATATTGACGCAGAACGCGCCTCCCAGCAGTGGTCGCCAAACCCGCCCTCCTCCCATCGAGCCGCTTGATGACGAATAGATTCACCTTCAATACTGCGTCATCGTCTTCAACCTCCTCGTCGCCGAATGGTGGTGGCGCGTTTGCAGGGCGCCACTCTGAAACCCCGTCCTCCCGACCACCGCATTGTCCCCCACAACCACCCCGTCCGCTGGCCATGTCGCGGTTCAATTGCCCGCTAGAAAGAATTGTAGCAAGAGCTAGTCATATTTCCTCGATCCCTGCTGAAAGCTTTGCGATCTGACGACACATCGACTCGATGGCGGCGTCAAGCCTGTCGTCTGCATCGTTTCGTCAAGATGGCATTGTGGATTGTAGCTGTCTCTAGATACTAACTGATGTAACGTGATAGATGATTGAAAAAAAAAAAAAAAAAAAAGAGAACTCTCTCGATAAACTGCATATTTTTATTCAATATCAACCAAGGAACATCAAAGAAGACGATTCTTTTAAATAAGGTTCTCAAAACCTTGAGACTAACTTGTCGACCAAGCCAGAGGTAATAAATGTTCAATAATAATAATAAATATTAAATGTTAATAATATTCATATTAAATATTATTCTGCATCATTTGGTATCAGTTGGTATCAAAAGTCAGCATGATTCACGATGTTGATTTTAGCAGATGGAGGACCAATTTCAGCAGATGGACAACCAATTCACAGATGTGTCAAGGGGTATAGAAGAATTGCGTCTCACTACACGTACCATTGTAGAGGATGCTCATACGTACCGTGACGTCGACAACCGGGGTGTGCGTGGGGGATTTTGTGGTGGACATGGAGGACGTGGAACCTAGACCTTTGATGGATAGAATATCCTTCTAAGGAAGTGGCAACCGAAAAATCTGGAATTTGGGAAGGAAGAGAAATGCATAAGAATTTGGGTTCATATACTCAATCTTCGCCTTCATTGGATATCAGAAAACACTGGGATGAAGATGGGGAGACGTGACACCACACGGCAACAATCGGTGTGATGTGCATGGACCGACGAGACTTGGATGGATAAGATGAGTCGAGGTGGAAGAACATCTCAGAACCATTCATCTGGCCTTGTAGATCGTGTATGTCTGTACAAAGTCATCACATACAAACTGTTAAGATATTGATCCTAAGTTTTAGATCCGCTTCGCTTTAAGATTAGTTTATTAGTATTGAATTAGAGAACAATAAATAATGTTTTTCACCGAACCCAACAATTAGTAGCAGAGCGCAAGGTTAATTCGGTTTATTGTTCAATAATTGAATAGTCTTGCATGAATTATGTGTGTATGGAGCGCGACACATATTTGGAATATATATATGCATCGGTTGCATGTTTATATGATCCAACTATTATGGCAAATTTGTATGCAATTTAATTTATGCACATTTTTAAACTCGAGAATGCGTTAGTTCAGTCTCCTGGTGCAGTCCAGGGTGGTCTTTCAGGGGAGGTTCAGGTCCGTCGATCTGGATCGAGTCAGTCGTAGAGGGAGTTTCTCGACCCGTGTGTTTAGAATGTGGGTTTTGTCTCTTCTGTTTTCCACCTGGGTGTGCTGTTAGACTGGCGGGAAGGGTGTTAATTTAGTAGTAGTTTCTTTTTTCTTTTCTTTTTTTATGTTTTTTATTTTGTTCATGTTATTTTTTTTTGTTGTGTGTTTTAGGTTTNAAAAAAAAAATGATTTTGGAATCCATTGCTGAAAATGAAAAGTGTTCGACCTGAATAATTTGGACCGAAATCCAGTCCGCTGACAAGCCAAACACGATTGCAAATGAAATAAGAGATCACAAAAACTGAACAACAAACGAAATAAATATTTATGCACGGGACATTTTTAGTCAAAATTTTTGTGATTGGTAAGTGTTTTTAGCCCCACTTGAGGAGAGGTATCGATTTATATCTACGATCATATTGACATAAAATTGAAAACCCTTTTCACATCATTTTGTAAGTTATGAAATGAGAAATGATTGGCCACACATTCCATTCCTTATACTGATCACCACCAAACTTCTCTAAGAACTTACTCTAAATTCTGTGAACGAACATATTATATCACCAAACTAAAATAACAGCTATAAAAAACAATACATCACCTTAAACTACACACCATTACTACTATTAACAACTACAATTCTTCTTCAGAACCAGAGCTCTCTCCACACCTTCTCCATCTGCTCGATCGGCACGTTCTTCATCTCCGACAGCTAAAAATACATGAAACACATCATAATCGCCACCCACCCCCTGAAAAACAGGAAGATCCCTACCTTCATTCTGCATAGCATCCACAAAAACATCTGCCCCACCAAGAACATGAACAAGAAGTTCACCCCTACCAAAAAACTCTGCCCCACAGCCTGAATTTCCAACGGGAAAATCTCGCTCGGGATCGACCACCCCAGCGTGCCTCACGACACCTCGAACACCGCCACGTAGATCCCGATCAACACCGAATTACTACTATTTGCAAATAGTGAAATGATGATGATATCAAATTTTTGTGAAGGAAATGAACTTGATGTCGAATAATTTGCCTATAAAAGGCAACTAATTTATAGCAAAATTGTATATACGAAAAGAAGGAGAAATTAGTATACATTATATCCGATTTTTATATTCAGTTCTTTATCTCTTCCCCACATTCACAAAAATAGATTAAAAATATTGAACAACAAACAAATAAATATTTATACACTGAAGATTTCAGTTGAAAATTTTGTGATTGGCAAGTCCTTTTGGCCCCCACTTGAAGAGAGGTATTGATGTATATCTACGATGATATTGACATAAAATTGAAAACCCTTTTCACATCGGTTTATAAGTTATAAAATGAGATATGATTGGTCACACATTCCACCAAAGAACTTCCTCTAAATTCTGTGAATGAACATGTTAATATCACTAAACTAAAATAACAGTTATAAAAAAAGTCACATTAGGCTATGTTTGGTAAAACTAACTTATAGCTTATCAGTAATTTTTTAGCTTATAGCTTATGAATTATAGCTAAAAAGCTAGCTTATATGATGAAAGTGTTTGGTAAAATTAGCTGTTAAGCTAGCTGAAATAAAAGTTTCAACGAGCTTATTTGAAAAACTACCCAAAGAAACTTATGAGATAAGCTCGAGCTTTTTAAAAAAACTCGACCTACCAAACGAAACTTATTTAAATACAAGAAGTTTATAAGCTAATCAAATAAGCTATAAGCTAACTTATTTGTCTACCAAATATAAACTACACACCATTACTACTATCAACAACTACAATTCTATTCCAGAACCAGTGCTCTCTCCACACCCTCTCCATTTGCTCGATCGGTACGTTCTTCGTCTCGGGCAGCAAAAGATACACGAAACACGTCATAATCGCCACCCACCCCCCGAAAAATAGGAAGATCCCTGCCTTCATTCGGCACAACATCCACAAAAACATCTGCCCGACCAAGAACGTGAACAAGAAGTTCACCCCAACCGTCACGCTCTGCCCCACTGCCCGAATCTCCAGTGGGAAAATCTCGCTCGGGATCAACCATCCCAGTGGGCCCCACGACACCCCAAACCCCGCCACATAGATCCCTATCAGCACCAATACCACATAAGCATACCCTCTGCTCAACCGTCCCTTGTCCCCCAATTCAGCTCCCATCAACACCCCAACCGCAACCTGCGAAGCCAACATCGTCAGTCCACCACTCATCAGCAAAAAACGCCTCCCGAACCTATCCACGACAGCCATCGACAAAAGAGTCGTGAAAATGCCAACGACGCCCGTCATCACGCTCGACAGCAAAGATGCGCTCTCACCAAAACCGATCGTCCGGAAGAGAATCGGTGCGTAGAACGCAATCACGTTGATCCCCGTCACCTGCTGGAAAAACGGGATGGCTACCGACATCACGAGCTGGGGCCGGTAATTCTTCCGCAAGATTTTCGAGTAGGAATTTCCCGAGTCTTTCGAGCTTCGGCTGGCCTCGATGAGGTCGTCGAGCTCGGGCTGGACGTCGTGCATGCCACGGGCTCGTTGTAGGGTCCGTTTGGCTTTCTCGGGATTGTGGCCGCGCTGGATTAGGCTGTTTGGGGTCTCAGGGAGGAAAATCGCGCCTAACGTTAAGACGGAGGCTGGGACTGCAGCTAGGGCCAGCGAGAGCCGCCAACCCCAGCCGGATTTTATTTTTTCCGAGCCATAGTTGATTAGGTTTGCGGATAGGGCGCCTATGCCTACGGTGAGCTGGAAGGCGTTGTTGAAGGCTCCCCTGTATTTGGGAGGTGCCATTTCTGAAAGGTATAAGGGCACTGCCTGGAAAAGTTGAAAAAACATATTATATGATGAATGTGCTTTGAATTTGCTAAATCTTGGTACAAACATACATTTGAAGTGAATTATGAGTTATGACTAGTAATTAAATTCAAGAATTCAGTTAAACAGGGGAAAAGAATGTGAATTATGAGTACGTGATTTACCTGGTTTGCAAAACCAACACCAACTCCGAGAAGAACTCTGCCGAAAATCAGCATATATATGGTGACAGCTGCACCGTTAAGTGCGGCCCCGGCAAGAAATGCAGCTCCTCCAAATATTATCGTTGGCTTTCGGCCATAAGCTCGATTTACGAAAGACGAAAAGAATGAAGAAATTAAACCTGCCAAATACAGTGAGGAAGTGAATAACGTCAAGAGTTGACTGTCGAATTTGCAGTAGTTGCTAATCCGAGTGTCCTCTTTCATTCTTGCGTACACTTCGGGGAAAAACTTCTTCAAGAACGGCGCCATGGAAGTTACTCCACCTGAATAAAAATGCGATTTTCATATAAACATA